CTAAACCAGTGAGACTGTTTAAAAAAACTTCAAACTGTTAATGGCATTTGTAGACTTATGGGGAGAGGGGACAACTGTGTATGTAGTAGAAGCACAGACTCCGCCTAGTTGTTGAACAGGTTCTCAGTTGGTGGCGATTCAGGTCGGCAACTGTGCTTCCTGCTGGGGCATTGCCACTGAAAGGGGATCCTGGTGATTGATAAGAAGTGGGGGGCAGGAGTGGGGAAAGAAGGGGGGATTTCCTGAGAAGCCCCCAGAGCCAGCCTTGATCAGAGGAAATTGGGGGTTTCCACGGCAACCTGCTCCAGGGCACAAAGGCCCTGCTGTCTACTAGAAGGCACTGAAGGTGTCTCCTCCACTCCAACCCCTGGCTGTTGTAAAAAGGGGTGTGGGCAGAGGTCTGGTAATTGTTTCAAGGGAAAGCTAGACAGCTGCAGGATCATTTTTATAGAGCAAAGATTTAATATGACAAGGAGCAACTAAACAGGGGGACGAGCTGCTCCCCTCCATCTTTACAGTAGCTTATAGGCATAGGGCTTCTGAGGCAGAAGCACTGACGGAAAGGCACCTCACACTGCTCACTGAGCCTAACAGCATGCCGACAGACACGATGCTTCTGAAGAGAGAAGACCGGGCACACTGAGACAGAGCGAAGAAATAGCTACAGATCTAAATTGATGGAAAACAGGAAGAAATCATCTCCTCCCAGGCATAGCAGACTGAAGGGGGAAAAACCCACAATTTACTATAAAATGGGGTTTTATTATTTATTTACACAAATATACACAAAAATAAAAGCATCTGCAGGAGAAGAAACCGGGGACATTTACAGGATGCAGATCAGTCTGTGATAATTAGCTCATCCACACCCCAGTCTTCATAGCTTCCATCTGGCAGGTACCTGCGGATGATTATGGGGATCTTCCGAGCTCTGAAGGAAGGACAGAGAGGTAAATGGAAATGCCAGCACTTTAATTACACCCTCAGCAAGTTCCAGAAGTTCAGATGTACCATGTGGTGAGAGTTGGTAACTCACTGGTTTTGTTTCATTAGCAGATTTCAGGTGTACCAGTTGTGTGCTCATGCTTGAAAGGTCAGATCTTACAAGGCGCTGAGCAAGCTCAAAGTAACAAAAAAATTGAGGAAGCCCAGCACTTTGTTTCCATTGTAGGAATTTAGCACTGCAATCTAAAGCCATTGAACGTCACAATGGTAAGAGACTGCACATCCCAAGAGGCATGTGGGAGAATCAATGGAACTGAAAAATGAATCTACTGTTTTGATGGGAAACCCACAGTGATGAGTTCTCCACAAACCACTTCAGATAACCCAATGAGAGTTATGAAGAATGTCATAAATAACAGACACTGGGTTAATGTTCTTTATTCAAAGCTCTTGATATATTTTAAGCATGTAGAGAATAGAGATCCTTTCTACCACCACTACCACCACCACCAAAAATGGGTACCTAAGTCAGAATACAGCTGCTGCTAATGCCCAGCAACAGTGTGCATCACAATTCAAGTTAGAAAACACTGAATTCAATTTCATGAGGGATTTTTAAGTCAGCCGAATATAATTAACCAGACTGGAATTGGGCCAGGACCCGAGGTTCACAATGTTACTTTTCACAAACTTTATTCTGAGTGTGCCAGGACCCGAGGTTCACAATGTTACAGTTTGTGAAAAGTAACATGGGACCTTTAATGATCACACACACTCAGAATAATGGTTTTAAGCCTCATCCAAAAGATAGCCTCTATGTTAGCAAAGCATTCAATTAGTACTGTGCTAAGGCATTGACTTGGTACTGACTGAGGGTAGAGCACCCCCTATTGAGAAACAGTCACTACTTCCTACAACACCTTTGATTCCTTTCCAGGTCTTGCACACTAGCACTGACCAGAACCAACTCTGGTTGTTTCAGAAGTTCTGACATGAGCATAAGCTGAGGTGGTACTGGATGCTTATAAAGGGGAAGGAATGCAGCTAAGATAAGGCTCTCTCTTGAGGATGTAAAGTTTGCAGGACAAACTACAATGAATTAAAGCATAAAAATTCTATTTAAAAAAAAAACAATGCATGACGAACAAGTGGGGTACCCTTTGCTATTTGATGGCCCAGTATGCTAGGAACTCTGGGTTAGCAGAAGTTCTGCATGAAGGTGAGCTATGACCCATCACTTTCAACAGCCTCCATCCATAACCTTCACATAGACAGATATGAGATGATATACAGAAAGATGATGAAAAGGGATGAGATAAATCCACTTCTATGGAGTATGCTGAAATTCAAATGATGTGTCAGTATCCAGATACCAATGAAAGGCTCCATTATGAGAAAGGAGGCGGGCATCCGGCTAGGCAGCTACTAGGTGTGTATTCATGTTTCTCTCTTATGCCTCAGAAGTTATGGCATAAGAAATTGGGTGAGAGGAAGAAACAGAATGCAGGGGGAAAAAAAAAAATGATGAAGGGAGTCAGGGATTTCTTAATGTGGCCACCATGTGTTTGTAGTCATTTTCATCTATTAACATTTTTTCAGATGAAATGCATGCAAATATGAATGTATCCAAATGGCTACATGTGAATCAGTTCCAATCAAGAATTTATCCAATCCCAACAAGTTCACAATGGGGCCCTTAGAATCCCATTCAAGAAAAAAAAGTGAATTAAAACCAAACCAGGAAAATGTTGCTAACCAGGAGAACTTCGGAGATGCTTGTAGGACTGCAGAATACAGACAGCCAAGCTACCTGCAAGCGGGGAACAGGTTCCGAACTGGAAAGAGGAAGGGGATTCATATTCCCAGGCCAGGAATTCCAGTCTAGCCACAAACCTTTTTCAGAGTAACACAGACTGCCTGCATGAACATGGAGATTGTATTTGTTCATTGTCATCAAGCGAGTGCGCAAACTGTAGCTCAGGAACTAATGGAAATAAACCCTTATCATTCGGGTGTTGAGGAGGGGAATGTCACTCTAAGACACACTTTATTGTCAAAATCCCCAGGACTTACTTGAGTTCTTTCATTGCAATCAGAAGAGGGTCTGTCTCTCCTTCCAACTCTACCATAACTGGAGCACACATCCTAAGAAGAAGAATATCCACAATCACGAAGGGGATGGAAAGGAGTGGGAGAAATACGGTAAAGCCTGTGGGCATACTTGTTTCACAAACATGTCTGTTACCCAGATAAAGTCCAGCAGTGTGTGAAGGATAGAATGACAGATCCAATTCTGATTTGTAAAGTCTCCTTTGGCTTGGAGACCAAAGCTCCTCAGCAATTTCTCTTATGCCAAGACCCTCTCCTATTGTGGCAGGAGCATGTCTGGCAGTTAGTGACAGGGTGCAAGTTTAGAGATGAATGCGTTTCATGGCCCGTCCCTCAATCTTTGCTCACAGTCTGGGATTTGAGATTCACAATGAAGCCCACAGCCCTTGAGAGGTCACTTCCTGGCATATTTCAATGTGAGGACAGGAAACAGCGACTCCAAAATTAACCCAGTAATACATACCATTAATTAGTCAATAAAAGGCACACTGAAATCATCCCCCCACCTCCAAACCCCCTGGATTTGTTGTTTGGCTGAGATGCTCAATATCTTGCAGATCCTGTTTTGGGGGAAGAGAGGGGCTCATTTTTTTTAACCCCAAAATTTTATTACTGAAAATTTAACATCTCTTTGGAGGGGTTGTGGGAGCAGAGCATAAAAGATGGGGATTATCCTGATGTCTCCTTTTAAGAGATGGCAGCAAAGGAAGCATGTGCGATTACAGCAGGACAGTGATGGGCAACCTAAGCTAGTGAGTGGGCCACATGAGTAGCTTTTCATCTCAGTGAGCTGCAAGGTTGTCATAACCAAGATAGTCTCCTGAGATAGGTTAGTTTTGCTAACTGCGCTTGTGTATCTAGAATTTGCTGACTAAACCATAGCAAAACTTTTGACTGGATGCAGAGGGAGTATGCAGCTCTTACAGTCAATGCTGTGTGCAAGCAGCATGCACCTCACATCATGTGTGTTGCTTTAATAATACCAATAGGAAAAAAAACTATGCACATGGAAACCAGTATAATCTGGCAACCCTCCATGTGAGGAAAAGTAAACAAAATGTCTCCCTACAGGCTGTGCACCACTGCAAAGAATCTCAGACTTACAAAGTAACCAGTCAACCACATACCTCATTTGGAACTACAGGTTGAACCTCTCTAGTCTGGCACCCTCAGGACCTGACCGGTGCTGAACCAGAGAATTTGCCAGACCATGGAAGGTCAATAGTGTCTAGCAGCATTACCAACACTTCCATTGCCTACCAGGCTCTCAGAAGTAATTTAAGTGTAAATTAAACAACAGCACAGAACTCAGAGAGCCAGGACTGGTGGCTATAAACAAACTTTGTGGGACTACAGGAAACTTGACCACACCCATAAGTGGACATCTGGCTAATTATAATCATGCCAGACAACAGATATTGCTGGACCAGGGAGTGCTGAACTAGAGAGATTCAACTTGTAGAAGTATGAAAAGACCAAAAAAATTGAAAAAGTAAATAGTGCAGTGCTTTATTATTAATGGCTTATATGTTTAATAATGGGAAAAGCAGCATTTTTCTTCAGCACGCTAAAGATTCAAAGCTATATTAAATCAATATTCAGCTGTAAACTTTTGAAGAAGAACCATAAAATCTGATAAGGTGAGCTACGAACAATTTGGAGTTATGAAAAACCCATTCCCGAGGTGTTTTCAACTCTGAGGTTCAACTGTACATGTGGACTTGGCCACTGGGGGATGCTGCTGGCCTAGAATTGGAATTAAAGACTCCATTATTTAGGAGTAGATAATATAGCAACAGGCAGCAGATTTGGGGTTTTTTTTGTTTTTGCCTTTCAGCAAATTAAAAAAACATGCAAAGAATGGCTTTGCTAAGCAATGGCTAGGCAAATAGTAGCTGTGTGAAGCAATGACTAAGGAGAGATTCAATAGGCACCTGCAATTATCTGTAAAGTGTAAGGGAGAAGAATTGTTTTGAGTGATCTGAAAGAGTATAAGCAGGAGTAACAGGATGAAAACAAGCAATGGCATGATTTCAGATGGATATAAACTTTCCCAACATTGAGGTACAGTCTCCCAAGAAATGAAAGATCCTTGACCTGCATAATTTAAAATGGGACTAGACAGCAGGAGTGTTAAATTTCAATTAATCAGCTAATTGAGTAGTTGATGGAATTTCCATCAACTACCTGATTAGTCAATAAAGGGGGTGGGGCATTTGCTATCCTGCACCTCTGCCTTTTAACTGTAAGTAAGAGCCCCACAGCTCTTAAGTTGGCTCCCCCAAGCACCAGCTCCTGCTCTCTTCCCCTTGCTGCCTCTGATACAGAGGCCGCAAGGGGAGGAGCAACAATCCAAGTAGTGACTCTACCCGGTAAGCCTAGGCAGAGAACTAAACAAACCTACTCTACAGAGAACTAAAAAAAGCAGATAGCAGGTGGGATGGTACATAAGCAACATTTAGACTGTGATAATGCTGGGCAGCTAATTATGCTGGGCACTATTGTTCCAACTGCTGCCCAAGCCAGTAAATGACAGTCCCTGCCCCCAAAATAATTGCAGTCTAAAAAATTAGGTATATGTTTTCTGTTCATACTTTCTACAATCCAAGAACTTCATCAACAAATATCATAGAAATTCCTCTGGGTCTTGGCTTTTGTAAACATCCTGAGCTTTTCAGCACAGTTTGGATTCCCCTTGGGAAAGGAAGGAGACACGCCTAGAACACTACTCCCACCCTTCCCTGGCCTTTAGCAGAAAGCTCTGATTACAGATGAGAAATGCCTCCCACTTTTAAACAACCAAGATAGGTGAAATGAAGGCTATGCCATCAGTAGCATTATCCTGGGTATAATGCTCTAGTAGGCTGCAGAGACTCAAGTTTCCATTTCCATTTTGCAGATGTCATACAGAACCTCACCTCGCAGGGCAGGTGGAGAATCCACAAAGCTATGGAAGATCACGAATAGTAAGAAAGTAACTTAAACACGGAAAAAACATTTTGAAATGCCATGAGATGCCTATGCCAAGGCTGGGGGTGGAACAAGTGTACTTACGCTATCTGGAGCGCACGAGTGCCCAGGACTCTGGCTCTCTCATATTTGGTCATATATGGAGTCGTGATCCGCTTCTGATTTGCCTGTTGTCTCTCTCCAGATGGAAGGATTTCTACATTCTCTTGACCCTCCTGAAGAAATAAAGGAATATAAGCTATTGTAAGCATACTGAAGGAGCTGGGCGTCCTTAATAGATTTTCTCAGACTTTGGAATCAAAGTTTAAAAAGTCTACACAGAATTCCAAAAAAGTACTTTGAGTAAAGAACAACCAAACATCCAATTGGGAAGTGCATTTATCTGATTAATATTAGGTTACCAAGACCTGGATTCTATTCCCATTCCTAGTGTCTCACTCTGTAGAGTGCAATGCGATCAAGATCATAGAATCACAGAGTTAGAAGGGACCACCAGCGTCATTTAGTCTAACCCCTGATAAGATGCAGGATTTGTTGTATCTAAACCAGGAGTGGAGGACCTTTTTAGGGTTGAGGGCCGCTGACCCACATTCCCCTTGCACACCAGAGTCTATGGGGTTCCAGGCTAGATTTTGGAGCATCAGCGAGGGCTCCCCAATGCTGGGGGAGAGCCCTGGGCTTTGGGGGCCAGATCCAGGCAACCTGGAGGCCACATCCAACCCTGGGGCCTTAGGTCCCCTACCCCTGTTCTAAACCATCCAAGACTGACAGTTACGCCCAGTGATGGAGCTTCCACAACCTCCCCAGTCAGTCTGTTCTATTGCCCTGCTGTTCTTACTGTTTGGAAGTTTTTCCTTAATCTAAATCTGCTATACTGTACTGTGAACCCACTGCCTCTGGTCCTTTCCTCTGTGGAAGAAAGAACAACTTTTCTCCATATTTTTTATGGCAGACAAGTGCTCTAAGAGCCCGCACCCTGCAGTGCCATCATAGAGACAACTGCCATTCCCAGTAACTAGCTCCCAGCAGGACAGGAACTCAGAGTGGTTTGGGGAAAATGAAAATGCTGTATAAAAAAGGAGGCATTGTGAACCATACAGGGGCTAAGCAGAGAGCTGTTGGGGAGGAAGGGTTTGAGCACTAACCTCCTCTGCATTCTCCAAATCATCCAGCCCTTCATCTTCCTCCACATCATCAAAGTCATCACCATCAAAGCTGCAGGTGACAGAAGGTCACTTTTCACTCTACAGCCAGAGCCCAACCTACTTGCTGCCGCCACCCAAGGTATGTCTAGACTACAGGCTTTTGTTGGCAGAAGTTTTGTTGACAGATGCTGTCAACAAAGAGGGCAGGTCTAGACTACACGCCTCTGGCAACAGAGGCATGTAGATTAGGCTACCCGGCATAGGAAGATGAAGCGGTGATTAAATAATCGCCACTTCATTTACATTTAAATGGCTGCCACGCTGAGCTGATCAGCTGTTTGTCGGCCCAGTGCGGTAGTCTGGACGCTCACGGTCGACATCAAAGGCATTTGTTGACCTCCCAGGTAAACCTGATCCCAGGAGGCATACCTGGGAGGTCGACAAATGCCTTTGATGTCGACCACGGAGCGTCCAGACTACCACACTGAGCCGACAAACAGCTGATCGGCTCAGCATGGCAGG